CGACATCAAAGTGTAAAAAAAGCATCACCCTTTTTTCCTCTTTTTGTGGCGCAGTTCCAGTGTTTTTTGACGGCGTTTTTATCCCCTCCCCACAAAAGCGTTCCTCATTGCACGCCTTGTATATTTTCGAGCAAATAACACACTCTGATCCCGACCCGGGTTTTAAAGTGAAATTCAGAGAAGTGTCTGCACTTACCTCTGCCGTACAGTCAGTTCCATTACTTTCAAAATAATCAACTACAGAAGCGAGTAACAATGCTTCGGGAACGTTAAAAACCGTGTTTATAACAAAAATCCGAGATTCTTCCAAATTTACATGCTTATTTGGGTAATATTGACGGATCTCCTTTCTAAAAAACCGTTTCGATTCAATCACTGTCGCATATCGTACATAAATCTCTAGGTCAGTGAATTGATTTTTGTGCTTTCATAAAAGCTTTTATATCCATTTTCGCTGCACCCTACACATGCTGCAGAAAAGATAATTGTCCGAAGGTCTAGTTTCGTGACGAAGAGCAGCCATCTATGAAGAAAAGTCGAAACGTCTAACTCATGCAATTCATCAGGCCGTCGGACTACTTTAACACGGCTCCTTTGCGTTAACTAGATGCTCTCGTCTGCGCTCATTCTCCCTGAGGTGGTGCTTATACACCAACTGTGTCTCACACACTCGAGCTTTCCGCGACATATAAATTGATTCTACTCTTATCCTTCTCCCCAAACCGGATGGTTAGCTGCCCACCTCCTCTTTAGATGTGAGCCGAGCCGTTTCTCTAACTGTCATGGCCTATTCGTGGCAAAGCTCACAGAACAGAGATGAGACCGGTGAACCTCGTTCAAAGCGTAGTTTTTGATGAAAGGCAGCTCTAGGAATGAGAATAAAGAGTAGAAGGTGGTGAGTGTGCAAGAAAAAACCAAGGAATGGAATGTATAAGCGCGCTTCGACCGTTGACTTGCGTCGTTCTTCATAGGAATCGACCGTCATCCACCTGACGTATCTTGTTAGGCCGATGTCATAGTTTGCGAATCGAGCGATTCGCTAGCGAATCGCTCGATCCGAGCGTTGCGCCAGCGAATCGAACGTTGCACCAGCGAATCGAACTTTGCGCCAGCGAGTCGAACGATGTACCAGCGAGTCGAACTAGGTACCAGCGACTCAATAGTGGCGGGACCCAACTTTAAAGGAACCGCCACTTTCAAACAGTGTCACGTGACAGTGGACGCTGTTTGAAAGTGGCGGGACTTTGCAGTGGACACTGTTTGAAAGTGGCGGGCTTCCTTTAAACGTTGTCCGGTCCCGCCACTATTGAAGTCGCTGGTACCTATTCGAGTCGCTGGTACCTAGTTCGACTCGCTGGTACATCGTTCGACTCGCTGGCGCAAAGTTCGATTCGCTGGTGCAACGTTCGATTCGCTGGCGCAACGCTCGGATCGAGCGATTCGCTAGCGAATCGCTCGATTCGCAAACTATGACATCGGCTGAGAACGATGTCAGAGCCAGAACGGCGAGAGACAGAGAGGAGGGGGAAGGAGCGGAGTGCCGGTTGAGCTCTGCGTCTTGACTTTAATAAGTTACATGACGGAGGTCCATACTCCCTTGCTAGCGACTTGTGTATCGGTCTGGCATCCGATTGGGGGGTCCGCCCTTTTTTCTTACAGTAGGTTTCTCACTTGTGCGACTCCGATCTTACTTGAATTTCTCCTTCAATTAAAAAAGAAATAATTTCAAGTGTTGGCCAGCAGCTAGGAGAAGATGATGAAGAGAGTAATAAGAAAGCACATGAAAACTTGCAAAAGTTGATCACTGATACCAGCGTTTAACTACCTGAAACTCACTTGTCTAACTTCTTTAGGCCGTGAAATGCGGTTAAAATGTTGCAGTGCTCGTCGGTCTTCAGAAGATTTCCGAATCTTTTGTCGAACCACGCATTCCGCACCACAAATTTGGTCTTATATTTTGAGTTTCTAGTATTGCATGCTTTATCAAAGAGATAATAAAAACAGATGGTGCCATAAATTGGTTGGGCGTCCCGCTGAATGAAATCAAGGCTGCCTAGAGCGTAACAGTGATGAATCAAGCGCTTGAGGAAAAAAAATCTCCCCGAAAATCGTGAACCGGGCTCCGTTTTTGCCGGACGGTTTCCATTTGGGGTGAGTTCCTCGTGCGCTGACGTCATATCGTAAAGGCTTCGCTCTGCTCTCGATACTATGCTCGAATCACCAAGGCGCGGGGGTGGTACTTGTTGATGGGAAGTAGATACACTGGTTAAGCGCTGTCGGATCCCGCTACGGAATGCCTACGAATCACAACGCCGCTTCTTCAATCGCGCCCCTCTGAGTAGTAACTAATATTAAATTCTTCGATCGACCAATTTATGTAGACAAGAATATTCAATCACGCTCAGCGGACCCTGCGACTGCGCGGACTACTCTAGGAGAAGAAGAAGATATGCAATCACCTGAACTTCATCTGGATAGCCAATCTCGACCAAATGCTTGACAGAAAGATTAAAAGCTAGTTCTTCTGATATTGGTGAATTGTATACTGAAAGAGTAGTAGGCTCAGAATAGGTGATAATGCGTTCAACACTTTCGACTCCGAAATACAACTCAATTAGGACATGGAAGTTGTAGTGGGGGATATCTATTGCTAAACTCGATTCACAAAGTCTGACACCAGCCTTATGAGCCCTTTCTTTCGATATCCTCTCTCAACTTAAGATCAAGAAATCTACATAAAACTGCCGGCTTTAGGCCCACAGCACTATAAATTCCTCATCTATATTATCTGCCCTCGATCGCGACGCCTTCACTCACCTGCATCTCAATCCTGCGATTGGGGCAAGGTACAGGAACTGGCGCAGAGGCAGACTTCGTGCCATTCGTGATTCAACCTATCTTTGGCGTGACCATAAGGAGCTGCGTGACGTAGCATACCAGGATGCTCATATCATCAGGGGGACATTGAAGGGAGTGGGCCACTCATAGAACTCGGGACTAAGCCTTCGGGAAAGGGTAGGGAGGGGAAATGATTCTGGGGAGTGGACGTGAACACCATTGTCCTCTCTAGTCAGGTGTGGTTCACTACGACAGAAAGCGACTTCTCCGCTTATTGCAGTGCTGGGGTTCCCGCAACGAAGGTTTGCACTGCGAGGAAATCTTGCTATCTGTCCTGAAAGCTTAAAGGCATGTGTGGCTGCGACGATCTGATGGATGGATTATGCTACGCTAAATTTGCAGAACAGGAATATGTGTCACTTCTGCTGCGCTGTCGCGATGAGCGATGCTTACTTGCAAGGGTGGCGTCCATATCGAAGCCGACGCACTTGATCTTGTCCATCCGCAGTGAGCGATTGATAAATATCCTTAAGATAGTATTCGCAACTTACGCGCGTCTCGTGTAGAGGGCTGAACTTCACTGGAACGTGAAGTATGACTGTTAGCTTGAGGGTAAAACACTCACTGAGTATGCATGCTTTCTCGAGGAAGCCAGCATTAGACAGAGACCTGCTTCTGGCATGAAAACAGGTGGGCTGATAACGCGGTGATCCCCGTTTCATTTCTCGGAGCTCTGCTTGAGTGCGGCCGCTGCAGTCCCTTCCATCTGATGTAACTTGTTTCCTTTAGCGCTAGAGCCGGTCAGATCACCCACCAATTGCTCCATGGTATTGAAGGTGGCGAAGATTAATTATCTAGTCAAGAAATAAGAATTTTCTTTTCCCACACGCTCACTTTCTTATGGTGGCTAGCTCAAAAGAACGTGAGCGTATCGTTCACCTCCTTTCAGCCAATTCCTTCTCTCGCATTGCCACTTCGCTTCGACCTTCAATTTCAACCCAGCTTCTTCCTTACTACCACACTCTCAGCGCTTGCATTCGGAATGAGATGTCATATGTCCGTAAATCCTATGAATGCGTTTTATTTCGCTGGTGAGGATGTTATGAACTGAATACGTAAATGTCGTTACGAGCTGTCTTCGTGTTGCCCTTTACAAAGTTTTTTGGAAATTGGACAGGGCTAGACAACGATCACAGCTGCCGACAAGATGAAATTTGCGGAAACCCCGAATAGGATTCGATCCTCGCAGTTTTCGTTGGATCGTCATTCAAACGCTCACTGTCCTTGAAACGGACTCCAAAAGAATCTAACGTCGATACGATATCAAGACTATTCATGCGGACGTCCCACTGTCCTTTACCCATAGCTTCCTAAAATTTCAGAGCAATCGCCACCTATGTAAACTGCTCCTCCAACTTGGAATCCTGAGAGTCTACAGGGAGGCCAAAAAAGGGTCACGTATAGCACACATCATGAAGCTTTTCATCGCAAAGGGTGCCGCTGCTGATGAAAGTTTTACAGCAAAATATTCCCTATATGTTTCTCCATGAACAGACCCAGCCCTTCTTCACTACCCTCACCGTCTCCAGAACATGACGTCATCTGCCATCACCGTCGAGCCAGGCCTACCGTAATCGCTGCCAACTGAAGCTGCTTACATAATTTCTTGAAACGGCTATCCCGGCTTCCCAGAGACACTAGCTAAGAATATGCGTGATCGTTTTTGATCAGGGTTCCAGATGACGTCGTAGTGGTGTATGGTCCGTCGACGACCTCGTTGAGGCTATCCCGTCTCAAAGGGAAAACTTTGATGTCGTCGGTGTAGAAGGCTATTACGTTTCATTTGATAGATAGAATGTGTTTTTTGTGTGTCTTATTTTGGTCGGGCCGTTCGTTTGGTTTTGACAAAGTGAATATTCACAGTTTTGAATGTAAAGGAAAGTGGTCCTCTTTTTGCCGCATTTTCTTCTCTTGAATTTCTTCAATCTATCCTCTAATTCTCCCAGGGACGTAACACAGTCCCCGGGCAGCCACTTCTTTGGCTGTGATTGAAATTCGTAGAAATGAAGACAGCAGAACAGATGAATTTGTAAAGAGTCAAGTCCATGTAGCAATCAATATTTATTGCCGACACTCGATGTGACACATTTTCCATCTTTTCAAGTTTCTGCTGACGAAGGTTGAGTTCTCCCTTCTTCTTGATTTCCTATCTGCAAACAACAACGGATTAAAGGCAGATTCCAGATAAATTTAAGCTGAATCCCAACCTACAAGACTGACCATAGGTTTTCAAAAAAAATTCTATCAGAGGAGGAGATCTCACTTATAAGCAGTGGCTGGAAAACATGAGAAGCTATAACAAACCTCCTCAGAAGCTTGAACTCCTTCAGCTGCCTTACGACTTGCACATGCGATGCTGTGCAAGAACTTTTCTTCGTGAGGAAGAAAAATGAGAGTTGACAGCCAGTTGCAGTGAGATATTCGACAAATATGTATCACATGAATGTGTACATGGTCCGCGTCACTGAACACGAAGCGAAAATTGTGGGACAGGGAGCGGGAGTTATTCCTTGGCGTGCTTGACTGAAGCTAACGTTTCACGATGTGAACAAATAAAGTTCCTCCATCCCAATCTCAGCAAGAACCATGGCGCCAAAACTCGCTTCCATATCGTCGTAATTCTCTGGAAATGGCACGCATTTCCCTTAATGGTCAAAACCTTTTCGTCTTCTCTGTATTCAATTCAAGCACCATGACGAAAGAAGAAATGGAATCTTCAGACAAACTGCGTGCACGAGAATGTCAGGCCATCTCAACAAACCTGTGCCAGATTATTCCTTGGTTCCGCCCAACAAGATCTGGACTTGCCGGGAAGCCAATTCTAACCTGTGATATCTGCTCTGCTCATTGCAGTGCAGGTGCACTGCAAAGAGCAGAGCAGATATCACTAGGTTGCATTGCAGGAAAAGCACATTATCATTATGAAGTTCCGGTATTGCTGTTGCCCGCGCGAAGGATAATATTTCATTGTACGTTTCCACAGGGTTGAGTCATTGAGGCTTTCTTTCGCACTGGTGAGCTCGAGGAACTGATCGATACAGCTAGAAAGGGCGGGGAGATAGCTCCTGCGCGTCCCAACTTACAGATAGCTCGGCCTGGGTGCCCACGCTAAGCGTGGCCTTCGCCGGTTGCCACTTTTTTCCCAAATCATCATTAGTAGCATAGAGTCACCCTTGGGCTTTTGGCCAAGACAAGATCACATGCTTTCAGCGGCATGTCTAGATTTGGGCTGACTCGTTTTCTACTCCGGTCGTGCTTGGGCTGAAAGGGCCCAGTAGTACCTCAGCGCGAGGAGCGCTGATCTCACATGTGCCAGCTGATTGAATTTTTAGTATGAAAAGTGGAAAACAAATAAGACAATCGCCAGGACTCACAGCAATTTCTCTAAGAATTTCCTTTTTAGCACCGACATCTTCCTTCGCCTCAGGAGTGTTCAGGCTGTTGTTCAAATCGTTAAGTTCATGGAACTTTTCAGCTTGTCTTGACCATATCTGAAGAGCAATTGCCTTGAAAAGAAAGAATACCGTGCAGTTTTCCTGTTCGACATTTGCAAATAGGGAGTACAGCTAGCCGCTGTCAACTTCATTTCAAGCTTTCGAACAAAAACTTATGATGGGTATTCTGTTCCTTCTGTGCCGATATGCTTCTTTATTGAAGGCGCACCAACTTTTCCGAAGGGGGAATCAGGTAGGGTCAGGTAAAATTCCAGAATATTCGGGAAATTCGGGACAAAGCTGACTAGTGGCTTTTGCGAGTAGATAGGAACTACGCGAACCGTAGAAGTTTATTGACACACAGTAACTATTGTGCAGCTTATAATTGTGAACTTGCTAGCTTTTCTTTGAATATCTGATGCAAACGTCCCAATGCGGTCAATACTTTGCGCAACGTGAGAGTTTTTCCGCGAAGATGGTCGAGGGTTCCACTTATTCTATTCATCAGTTTTAGTTGAATTACTCTCATCGTAGGACTTACCTCCATTTCTCTGTTTAGTTCAGGCACTATGAGCAATGTGCGCCATCCTCCGGCTTTTTTGGACCTGAATAGGTTGATTTGAAGGCACAGTAGCACTTATTAGGTGAGTGGCGTGTTGGGTGTTATGCTGAAAAGAAGCGAGGGCCGTGCCATACTGGGCTCGTTGCAGAATACACCCTGAAACGACGGTGTTGGGCGCCAAACGCTGGTCGCTCCGCCCACTGTGATGTATTGCTTCTCTGGGATGTCGCTCTCCCCCATGCTCTCTCGTATTCGTCATTCGTTTATTCGCATTAGCGCCCAAACACCTTTCTCTGTCTGCTTGCCTGTCTGCCTCTCACCGTTCACATCCTACACATCATGGACCAATAGGGTCTTTATATTTGATATTTTCAACGGGTTCGTTTCGTTTCAACTGCTCTTTTTGAATAACAATTGATTATGAAGCCTATTGTTGTAAAAATCAAAATCAATTAGAACTGCGGTAATTATTACTTGAGCACGTCACCGAAGATGTGGTCGCCGACGTAGAGAATGTCTTTACCGGCCAAACCCATTTGCTGGATGAAAGCAGTCGCGCACCCTTAAGAAACATAGTTTCGGAAAGAAATCGAAAATCAACAGCAGAACAATTTGGATCAAAAACCCCAGAATGTTCAAATCTAGCAGATGGCGCCATCGTCTTTTGTAAGTCGCTTGGAGAGGTCTTTGAATGCGAACTTTGAGTGCCTGCCAGATTCCATCACTCCACTTTTGACAAGTCCAAGTCATCACGCATAACGTGGGGAGGGGGGGGGGGGAGAATTTGTCATGTACATGGGGGCTCCAGAGGGAGCATGTTATGGAAAATGGATTTTGAAGGAGATATGATTACTACGTAGGGATACTGGTCTTCAAGGAAGTGAGAAGAGGAAGGAAGTAGCGAAGGGTGTGCCCGTCAGCTTAGGGACCCTAACTCTGGCGAACGCTACTGCCGTGACAAGGTTCACCTCAATCTAGATAAGTGGTGGATATATGAGCTATTATTGGTTTATCGCTGTTACTGTTATCACCCTATTTCGCTCTTACCATCAGTTTTGAAGAAGCATTTTATTTTGAGCGACCGTATCCTCCAGTTTACATGTGCAATGCTTACCAATCAAAATAAGATGCTAGAAATTGCGAGGCAACCAAGCCCAACTCCTCATCATGAGAACCCTCCTACTTTCACTTCGCCGTTCCTCCAAAGTCTTTTTATAAAAAACTTACGATCACTTGAGAAGGACATACCCCTGCATGTAGACGGCTCCTTTTTGGAACGGGCCGAAGTGGTTCCCAATCTTCTCCATACCCAGTCGCCAGGTCTACCTTAAGGTGTTACCGCTCTACACATAACTTTAGAGGCTTGCTGGATGTACGCGCGATAAGAACAGTGCGACATATCAAACAACTAAGTTATTGCCAAGAAATACATTGCTATTGAGTAGGGTATCCTTACCTCTTTGAACGCGTAATCTTGTAAAACCACTTGGGCTTATCACCGTTCACGATAACCACGTCGAACAGCTCCTGCCATCCTCTCCCCATCACATGGCGTCCCCCCATCAATGTCTAAATAAGGTTGTTCAATGGTCACCGTTTGCATCCTATATTAATTGAGACAATTGAGTCGCTTAAGTGGCCCTGATCCTTTCAAAATGCTTGGGTCCTTGAAATACAAACTGCCTTACGTCGGTGAACGACCAAGGTGAGTTTGTTAGTAGGAAGAGTTTCTTTCCATGCTGTGATAAGGTCTTCATCATCTGCACTGCTCGGTGATCTTGCGCAATGTAAGTCGAGAGATCTCTGCAGATTTTTCTTGAAATCGCCCTGAAACTCAACTGGCATAGCTCAAGTTATACACAATCGTGATGGCTTGCCCCCAATCGAGGGCCAACATTTGTTCGTTCTTCACTCACAAAAGTGATCGCATTTGTGATTTTTGAGCAGGATTTCTAGTTGAGGCCAACCTTAACCATGGCGGCGTACTGTGGCTTTGTTGGCTGAGACATTTATGGTCACAACGCATATGACTGCGGATCTGACCCGAAGTTCAAAATGCCTACTATATTGATACTTCAACTTATCTTCATTGGAGACAGTTGTCCTCACCATATCAAATAATCTCCTCGCTCGACCAGGTTATGAAAGCCTTTTGAATTAGCCAAGTTCCCAACATATGCAAAATGGGTTCCATGTCAATTCCCATGTGTTGCGATAATCGGATTTCTTTTCCTTCAAGCAATGGGCTAGCGCAGGGAAAGGATGATCAGTTTAGGCCGAGATCCTTTCACTTATGCGTTTCCTGTGATTTTACTGGGCAAACAAAAGTGGTAAAGCAGACCCTTAAATTGTATAAACGTATCACCCTCGAGGCTCCCTTTGCTGAGTTGCCGCCCAACTTCAATTAATCCCTCTACTGTGTTTACTTACATAAGCTCTACATAATATGCTCACCCCCGTACTAGTGGTCTGTCGTGGATGGTTTGGGTTTCAAGCGCAACGGCAACATGGGGATAAGAGCAAATCTTGACCTGACGCTCACAAGTATCCTCAAAGCTTCAACCAGCTTATGTGGGGTCGGTTCCTTGTGAGGTTCTCAGTAGCTTGAATAGGGTAAACTATGGAGCCCCAAAAACCTAAGCATTGATACTGCAAATCGATAAAGTTCCAACGATAAGAGCCAGCAGTCAAAGGATGTCCTCAGGTGGCTGGTATTCAGGGTAAATTTGTCCTCCCAGTTCTTTGGCCAGTAGATCCTTTTGTTGGACTCATCTGGTGTTTCAACTCTAAAAATTTCCGCCAGGCTTTATCAGGTTTATATCCTAAGTGAAGGTCATTAAGAAGGCAGCACACAGATACAGGTAGAAACATCAAGCAATTCTAGAAAAAAATGCACATGATAATATGTGAGAGTAAGAGGGGTATTCTTGTCCCTATGCGTGATTCTTGATCTCCCACACAACTCGACGTGTTTCCATATTTTGCCAGGTTATTCAGTATTCAAAATTGCCCACTTTGCGAAATAACCTTGATCTTCTTTGCTGAGAGCATGAACCAGGTGAAGCACAGAGACAGCTCACAAAGCTGACCCTCTTCACCTGGTCCATGCTTTTTTTCTCAGTTGCTCTGTTCAACGAGCAGAGAGCTTGCAAAATGAGGGTAAAATGTCTGGTACTTCATGTTGGGACTATACCCTACACTTCTCAAAGGCAGACTCGGCTATAAGAATCGGTCTACCGCAGTCCACATAGTAGCGCGACCTCATACGCTACACGCATATGACGCCAACGTACCACAACATGGATCCAATCAATAGCATTTCTGCAATCATTAAAAAATGTTGAGTAGAGTATAATTTGTTGAGTATCTTTTTTGAGGTATCCAGTCCCGCTCGGCAACCTGAAAAAAGGTTTGATTCAGTAAAATAAATGGTGTCACCACTTCCAAAGAGCTCCTCAATCAGAAGTCATGACTTGGCCGGACGTACTTTTCATACACATTCTCATGACTGTCGAAATAATCGACCAGGGACGCGAGTAGCACACCTTCAGATAGGTTGAACACGGTGTTCAAAACAAATATACGTGCTTCTTCTAATGCTACATGTTTGTTCGGATACTGCACACGGATCTCTTTTCTGAAAACACGAATCTTTGTCAAGCGGTTCTATAGCTTAAGGCTTCTTTAGCTTCTTAGCTTATAGATTGGCGTATCAAGAACGCTGCATTGATCACCAGAAGATCACATCGGTAGGGCAACAGCGACCCTGCGATTGCGCGGGACAAACGCTAGCGAGGAGAAGGGACAACGTTTAGCTGGTTCAGCAGCGCATGACCATTGTCATAGTGTTGTCTCTTAAGAAGCATCGTCTCGTACTAATTTCACTGGATAGTTTTTGAAATCTGCTGATAGGGGCAGCTTCACCTATTCGGTTGAGTCATGTAATGTCCGCACTCGATACCGATACTCAAAACGACAATTCTTCTCACTACCGAATTTATTGGATGCAGTGTTCACCACAGTCAACAGGACTGTCCTCCACTCCCTTGTGACCAGCGAATTTATTGCAAGAGGGCCCTAAAGAAGCACTGAGCCGCCCGTGAGGGCTGCCGATGTTTACTCATCATAGTGGACTCTCTTGAGGAGCGGGCTCACGAGTTGAACTCGACTCAAAAGGAAGAATCATTGGACTGGATTGAAATATGGCCGAGACACGACGGAACGGCTGCCCGGTTGGCAGGGACCCTCTGATTTTCGGCATCACGGTGAAGTCATTCAGTATGATACTCCACCTGGAGCTGGAATACTTGGAGTTACTAGCAGTAGGCGAGCGCGTGCAAGCGATGTGCCATCTGTTGTCTGCTATTCCGTGAGGCATTGCGAAAAAAGTTTACCGCGCTGGTAACCAGGTGCTTCATTATGAAGCATTTGGAGTGAACGAGTTGGTTGTTTTCAAGGCTAGTTTTCATCTCGGAGTTTCCAGAACCGGCGAGTCTCATCAGGCCTTTCTATCTAACATGCCTTGTAATCTAACGTTGCATTCAACACAGGTCCTAATTTTCAAAAAGTTGACGGTTTTGCTTTGTCCATTCCTAAAACAAACCTGTTCATGGTGAATTCCGCGGCTTCGCCTTCTCTTAGTGAGCTGCCGGATTTTTTGAGAGCGATTTTAATTTCGCATAACGGTTCGCCAGCTATTCCTTGGGAACTGTCAACAACTTTTTTAACTTCCATACACGTCATTTGCTGTAAAATTTTGCCGCTATTCGAACGTACAAGACGATGAACAACATGAACACGAGTTTTTCGCGCACAACAACATGGCCTCCCATGCATCTGTATCCAAATTTGGAACTAGATACTTATGCACGCCTAGTCTTGCTCCTTTTCAAAGAAGTTTTCAAATTTCTTCGTTCTGTGGAATGGCGACCATGGAAGTGGACACGATCATGGGTGGTTGAAATTGTGTTGGCAGACTGATTTATGTCAAATGTCGGGAGAAACTGGGCAAGGAGAGTTACGAACGACCCTATTCTTTGGGAAAAAAAGCTTGCACGACACAAGAACCAAGGAAACAATGTGATCTCGTGTAAACATATCAGTAAATTTATGCGCACACAATTGCCACAATTTTCATAAGTTCGGAGGCACGTTTCGAAATAAACTAGCGACACTAACAAGGAAGGAGAACAGGTCGTCATGACCATTCAAAAAGCGATAAAGCGATCTATATTCTCATTGTAGATGTGACTTTGAATGCTGATCTCAATTTGCCCTTCGAATCTGTTGAATGAATCTCCGAAAGGAGTTATGAAGCCGAATAACTCAGCAGCGGTGGCCGAGCTCTCAGGTTAAAGCTTCTGGGGTCGGTTCCATCATGACTGTTTCTTTGAATTGGTCTGCAACGTTTCTGAAAAGATAGCAAGCGCCACAGCACAAGCCATGCTGTCGGTAATGGCTGTGTGCAGCGTTGGCATTACTGCTTGATCGGAAGTTTGCTCCTGAGTTGCTGTTGCGAGAGTGACACACACAGTAGCACTTGCGTGGAGCTTGTAGCTACGTCATCTGTACGCGTAAGTGGCTTTGCAAACTCACCTGTCCAGCTTTCTGAACCCATGAAACGCTGTGAGGATATTACAGTGCTCATCGGTCTTCAGAAGGTTTCCTAGTCGCTTATCGTACCACGCATTGCGTACCACGAATCCCGATCTATATTTGAGACTCTAGAACAAGAATGAGCCATGAAAAAATGGCCTATCGTGCTCCTAACAATGGTAACAACCTGGATTTCTTTTGGGTAACCAATATCAATTAGTCGTTTAACAGCGAGATAGAAGCTCATCTCTTCGGATTTTGGAAAATTATAAACTAAAACAATTAGATCATAGAAGTGGATTATTCTACAAAACTACAAAACCATCACTGTGCGAAATCTGCCCTGACGCTCATGTCCTGGGGTGCGGGGGGGGAAGGGGGAAGAACATCCTTGAGAATTTCCTTCTCATCCTTCTTTTTAGGTCTTATTATGCTGAACTTTGTCACACAGAACAAAACACAAAAGCACACTCTCATAAACATACGAAATTTCAATAACGTACGAGCACATGTGATAGTCCCTCACAAACTGATCAAATCAAAACAGATTTTCGCAGTGTGCACAACGA